CCTATTTATACTATAGTCGCACCGGTAGTGACGTCATGGCTGTCGCCGGCCAACGAGTTGTTGGTGTTTTTTCAATGTATGCTTCAGACACGGGTCACGACGAGGCGTTCCCCATAGCGACCCCTAGAGGACGCAGTTCGAAGTTCCCATGAAAGGGAATTAATAATATCATAAAGGTCTCATGGAAAGTTCATTAGTAATATAATAATATTTTATTTTATTTTATTGAATTTATTGTAGTTTAGTAATATGATAAATAATAATTTTCTAGTTATGAGTTATGGAAATGTGGTAATTTATGCTTGTAAACAGGGTTATTATTTAGTTCAAACTAAAACCATAAACAATTTAATTACTTGCAATGAAACAAACGTTAAGTGAAATAACATAAAATTGTCTAAGCTTATTGTATTTCAGCTAGTTGCCAAAGCAACATTTCTCATTTTCATTCAGTTTAACATGATGTACTAAAATAACTAAAAAATTAAAATAAATAAAAACTATATAGACATAAAACAATAATTAATAAAAACAGCATTAATACAGCAACATTAATAAAACTTTAACTAAAATGTTTTTTACGGTCTGGAAAAGTTAATAATATCTTGTCGCAAAAGTTGCATGGAAAGTTCTTTAGTAATATAATTTATTTTGTATTTTATTTAAATGTATTACTTTTTATTTTATTTTATTTTATTTTATTTATAATTGTGAGTCATGGAAATGTGTTGATCTAAATGTGTACACAGGGTTAAAAATAAAGCCATACATTTTTTTACTTTAAATAAAATTATTTGAAATATACTTAAAAATATAACGTTAAGTGAAATACAATAAAATAAAATAAAACTAGCTAGTTGCCAAGGAAACATTTCCCATTTTCATTTAGTTTAACTTGATATACTAAAATAACAAAAAATTCAAACTAAACTGAAATAAAAAATAAAAATGATTCAGAAATATATCTAAAAAATAAACAATTACTAATAAAAAAAAAAATGTATACAATTTTAACTAAAATAAAAATGGAAAATACAAAAATAAAAACGAATTAAAAATATTATTAAAAAGTGCACTGCGTGTGAGGACCCTGTTTTTCCTCCGAACAGACAACTGTTATTTCAAAGCTCTAATGGTGGTCACATGACTCATGAAAGCAACTTCCTGTCCTGTGCAGCACTTCCTGTGGAGTCTGCGGGTTTGACCGCTGCCAGGGACGACGGTCACGTGTCTGATGACGAGGGCGAAGGAGGCCACGACAAACAGAAAGACAAAAAGAAGAAAGTAAAGAAAAAGAAGAAGGTTTGTGTAATTAACTCAGATCCACGTCTGACTCTCCTCGATATGAAATATGAACGAACGAAAAGCTCGCTTCATTAATCATCCAATTATGTGTGAAAAAAAAACATGTTTTTCCAGTAACGCACTCACTGCTGGTTTGAGCCGCACTAGTAAAAGTGATTTTACTCTTGTGTGCAGGTGACAGATCTCATTAATCAGAACCGTGCTAAACATGATTTTTATGCCCTAAACTCATTTCATATGACGCCTCTGTCTCTCAGAAGGCATGCAGCTCGTCCTCTTCATCGGACAGTGAGGATGAGAAGAAGAAGAAGAAGAAGAAGAAGAAAGATGAAGTAAGATTTAAGCTTCCTCATAAACCGCTGCATAATAAAAATCACATAATATTGGAGGGCTGGTTCATAATTTACTGATATTCTAATGATAATTAACTGTAATTAATAATATAAAATGAATAATTCAGAAAGTAAAGGCTAACTGTTGTTTGAAGCTGATGTAAAATCAATAATCAGTCAAATTCTACTGTACTCTAAACTGTAAACGTCCTGCAGTTAAACTGATTAACTATATTAGTTTTGTGATTTTGAGTATTGATTTATTATTTTTGTGAAGTCAACGTAAAAATTTATTTATTTATTCATACAACCTAGTTGTTTGGAATTTTGCTTGGTGAGCTCATCAACAATAATAACAAACATTAAAATACATATATAAATACATACACATGCACAACTATATATGTCCTGTCAATTATAAAAATTGAAAATGTTAAAATTATTAAAATATTATATAAAATGCTTTAAATATGAGCAATACATGAAGGGTTATTATAGTTAACTAAAACTAAAACCATAAAAAAAATATTTCCTTAAATAATAACAAATATATTGATTTTATTTAAAGGAAAATAAAAAATTGCATATAATAAAAATAATAAAATAAAAAATCTGAAGTGAAATAAAATATAATAAAAAAAATAAAATAAAATAAACGGAATAAAATATATATGAAAATTAAACTTATTTCAGCTAGTACCCTTGGCGACATTTATTATTTTTTATTTATTTTAAATTGATTACACTAAAATAGCTAACACTAAAACTGAAATAATAACTTATAAAATTGTATAGACATATTTAAACAAAAAACTAATAAAAATGACAAAACAAAACTTGAATATAAAATTAAAATTATAAATAACTAAAATTAAAATTAAAACAACATACAAAAATGAAAACCAATTCAAAACATTAATAAAAACAGTACAACTAGTATCTCAGTGATACCAAGATAACACTGGAATGGAGTGATGGTTATTACAGTTTGTGAAAGATTACACATTTTCATGACGTTTTTATTGGTTTAATAAATCATTTCAGAATATGATCTTGTATGTAGAATATAGAATTCACTGCTGTTATTCCCAACAGGACTCCAGCTCTTCTTCTTCATCCGACAGCAGCTCCTCATCCTCCTCAGACTCAGACAGCGACGATGACAAGAAGAAGAAGAAGAAGAAGAAGAAGAAGAAGAAGAAGAAGAAGAAGAAGAAGAAGGTAATGATAGAAATGAGCTACCTGGCCTGAAACCTAAATGAATGTGTTTGTGGATTCATTCTTGTCTGTGATTATTAAGATGTCATTTGCTAAGAAAATGAATGTAAATGCAGATTAATCTCTCAATCCTCAGGATTCATCATCATCATCATCTTCATCTGACAGTGACCATGACAAGAAGAAGAAGAAGAAGAAAAAGAAAAAGAAGAAAAAGAAGAAGAAGAAGAAGAAGAAAGTGAAGGTCAGATTCATTTACGTACACTGAAAAAAAAATTGATGTAGAAACATTTTTCACAAATTGCTGGTAGATGTCACAAAGCAATTTCATAACATATAAAATTTTGAATTAAAAACTAATAGTATTTTCTTGTAAAACATATTCCAATCGTCTTTGTTTTGGTTGCAACTTTGAAAAAGCATTGTTAGTGTAGTTTCACTGTAATTTCACAGCTGCATGTGAAAAAGTTAGTTTTGTCATTAACAGTTTATTTATTTATTTGCTTATTTCATTCATGCATTCATTCATTTTTATTATTTTCGTTTGTTTTGCTCACATTTCATACAATTTCCCAGCAGCACTCCGAAGTACAAGCCTTTAATTTTCTTGTTTCTTAAGGATTCATCTTCATCATCAAATAGCTCTTCATCATCATACAAGAAGAAGAAGAAGAAGAAGAAGAAGAAGAAGAAGAAGAAGAAGAAGAAGAAGAAGGTAATGATAGAAATGAGCTACCTGGCCTGAAACCTAAATGAATGTGTTTGTGGATTCATTCTTGTCTGTGATTATTAAGATGTCATTTGCTAAGAAAATGAATGTAAATGCAGATTAATCTCTCAATCCTCAGGATTCATCATCATCATCATCTTCATCTGACAGTGACCATGACAAGAAGAAGAAGAAGAAGAAAAAGAAAAAGAAGAAAAAGAAGAAGAAGAAGAAGAAGAAAGTGAAGGTCAGATTCATTTACGTACACTGAAAAAAAAATTGATGTAGAAACATTTTTCACAAATTGCTGGTAGATGTCACAAAGCAATTTCATAACATATAAAATTTTGAATTAAAAACTAATAGTATTTTCTTGTAAAACATATTCCAATCGTCTTTGTTTTGGTTGCAACTTTGAAAAAGCATTGTTAGTGTAGTTTCACTGTAATTTCACAGCTGCATGTGAAAAAGTTAGTTTTGTCATTAACAGTTTATTTATTTATTTGCTTATTTCATTCATGCATTCATTCATTTTTATTATTTTCGTTTGTTTTGCTCACATTTCATACAATTTCCCAGCAGCACTCCGAAGTACAAGCCTTTAATTTTCTTGTTTCTTAAGGATTCATCTTCATCATCAAATAGCTCTTCATCATCATCATCTGACAGTGAGGATGACAAAAAGAAGAAGAAGAAGAAGAAGAAGAAGAAGAAGAAGAAGAAGAAGAAGAAAGTAAAAGTCAGAATGATTGATGATGATGATATATGTAATACAATATATATACATATATGAAATTTCCATATGTGAAAATAATTTGAGGTAAAATCATATGAGGTAAAAACGTGTATGAAACCTATTAGAAAGTGGAACTTCATATATTTACATATATATATATATCTAGCCCAAACAAATATGCATGTTTGTGTAAGTGCCATACATTTTTGGACATATGTCATGTACAGTATATCCATCCAGAAACCCGTCAATATCTGTTGATAAATATAAAAGTGATTAAAAAAAAAACGTGTTTTAAAAAATGTATTACAAAAACATATATAAACATACAGATTTTTTGTATATATGAAGTTTTAATAAAGTTGCATATATAATTAAAACATACAGTATATTGTTGGTTGCTACATATAAAATATCATCATATAGATATTATTAACATATGCACATATACAAATTTAGCAAAATATTTGCTATTTTATATATGTTATAAACTTATATCTTCATCTACCCAGAGAATGTATGAATGTGGAAATTATATATTGCCTTATAGGTGGCATATATGCCAATATCACTCTTAATACATTCAATATACAGTATGTCATATATTACATTTCTGTATGGGTTTATGAAGATTTACCGTGATTTCACTGAATAACTGCTCTGCTCTCTTTTCTCAAAGGATTCGTCTTCATCATCAAGTAGCTCCTCGTCTTCTTCTGACAGCGATGACGAGAAGAAGAAAAAGAAAAAAAAGAAGAAGCATAAGAAAAAGGTAAAATCTCTCACTTTATTAAATATTCACACTGAGTTCATGAGAAATACATGAATCCAGAACGTATTCGACCTTTTGACCTCCATCCTCAGGAGTCCAGCTCCTCTTCCTCATCCTCTTCCTCCGACAGCGATGATAAGAAGAAGAAGAAGAAGAAAAGTGAGAAAGACAAGAAAAAGAAGAAAGACAAGAAGAAGAAAGATGAGAAGAGTAAAAAGGTGATGTTCAGTTTCCTCCATTCAAACCTGCAATACTGGTTTAACAGCTGGTTAACCTGCATTGCTGCTGGTTAGTGAAGAACTGGCTTTCTAAAGCAAGTCATTAAGAACAAAGCGATTTTTCAGTGTTGTTTTAGGGTCGTTGAGATGCTTCTATGGTTGTTATTAATATTTTGAATTAGTTTTTATATTTGTATTTTCATTTTAATTTTAAAGTTTTTGCATTTTTATTAGTTTTTTTTTATGTCTATATAATTTCTTATATAATTCCTATATATTTTGTATTTGTGAGCCTGGAGCACAAAAGCAGTCTTAAGTCGCTGGGGTATATTTGTAGCAATAGCCAACAATACATTGTATGGGTCAAAATACATTTTTCTTTTATGCCAAAAATCATTAGGATATTAAGTAAAGATCATGTTCCATGAAGATATTTTGCAAATCTACTACCGTAAATATTAAAACTTAATTTTTGATTAGTAATATGCATTGCTAAGAACTTCATTTGAACAACTTTAAAGATGATTTTCTCAATATTTAGATTTTTTTGCACCCTCAGATTCCAGATTTTCAAATAGTTGTATCTCAGCCAAATATTGTCCTATCCTAACAAACCATACATCAATGGAAAGCTTATTTATTCAGCTTTCAGATGATGTAGAAATCTCAATTTCGAAAAATTGACCCTTATGACTGGTTTTGTGCTCCAGGGTCACATATAATTAAATTCAGGATTTTAAAATTTTGGTCTGAATATTCTGCTTCTCATCTTCTGTCTCATCCAGAGTGTTTTGAATTGGGTTTTATTTTTATATTTTCAGTTTTCAATTATTTTAAACTCTTCTCATCCAGAGTTCATGTTCTGAATCTGATGGTGCGAGATACGTTTTTTCTATTGTATTTTATATTTTGTCTTTTTTCTGATGATCGTGTCTTTCGTCTGAATTCCAGGACTCCGGAAAGTCTTCAGGGTCAGAAAACGATGATGGCAAGCATGTATGAACTAATCCAAACTTGCTTATTTTAATCTAACCCCCCACCCCCCCCCCCCCCCCCTCCCCCCCACA